ACTGTGTGGAGGGGTCTTGGACCCCACCTGGGGTGGGCTTGACTGAGCAGGGCTTTGGGGAGCTGTCACAGTCCCCTTCCAGCACCTGGGTCACTGCACCCTGCTCTGGGAAGGATGTGTGTCCCTAGGAGGGAACTAAACCTGTCTGAACACCCTGGGTATTGACTGTCCCTCCTCACACAGACAAACCCTGTGCTTCGGGCTGTTTGTGTGTTCAGAAGTGACTGTGGGTCAGTGATGCTCTGCCCTCCCTGCCAGGTGAACACTCAGCTCTACAGCCAGAAGGAGAAGCAGCAGCTGGCAGAGCTGATCAGCACCATGCTGGCCTACAACCTCACCTACCACCAGGAGCGCCTGCCCGAGGGCCAGTACGTCTACAAGCTGGATCCGTGAGTGCCGAGGGGAAGGGAAGGGGTGGGGCTCAAAACCCTTCCCTGGGAGGGTGGTCAGGCCCTGGCACAGGTTGCCCAGAGAAGCTGTGGCTGCCCCGTCCCTGGGAGTGTCCAAGGCCAGGTTGGACGGGGCTTGGAGCAACCTGAGCTAGTGGAAGGTGTCCCTGCCCGTGGAAGGGGGTGGCACTGGACAGGCTTTAAGGTCCCTTCCCGCCCAAACCCTTCCAGGATTCCATGATGATTCTGGGATAATAAGAGCAGAGAGCTCAGGAAGGAGGTGAACTCCTGGCTTTGCTCCATCCCCAGCATGGTCCAGCTGCCCCACCACTCCCTTGGGCTGAGGCTGGAGCAGAGCTGGTTTAGATTTAATGGGATTAAAGGAAAGGAAGCAGCTGCCTTTGGCTCTCACTGGAGCTGGCAGAGGGACTGAAGCCACCAGAGGACAGAGCTGGTCCACCTGAGCTCATCACACAGAGGAGGTCACTGTCACCATGGTTCATTTATAAATTACCAGCTTGGCCACTGCCTGACCTGGCTGTGGCTCTGCTCTGAGCACACCCAGAGCCAGAACCTCTGGGGAGCCTTTGGAGAGGCAGCACAGACCCGGCCCCAGCGAGGCCCAACGTTAATGCCTTCCTGGGCAGAGTTAATTACAGTAATGAGCCTCTGTTAATCAAGCAGCTCTATTGAATTACAGTGAACTGCTTTAGTATTGTTTCTTCCTCATGGAAAGGCTGGTGGGGGCTGTAGGGATCCATCCTCTGCTTTCCCCCCCGTGCCACCCCCACATGGCCATGGGGAGACCGTGGGACATTGGGAGCCACTTTTTGGCTTTACTTTGCTTTACTTTGCTTGTTTTGTGAGTTCTGAGCCTGTTTCCTGGCTTGTGCACAGAATCAAAATTGGCAAAGACCTTCAAGATCATCAAATCCAACCATAAAATGACGGGGACTATGGGGGTGTCACATCCCAGTGGCATCTGGAAATTGCATCCCAGCATCTCTTTGGCAAACAAAGCTGTTGTCGACAGCAAAACCTGTGTTTTCTCTTTATAACTTCTTAAAACATTGATTTGACAGCTAATTTCTAAATGATTGCAGAGCCAGCTGACAGGGAACTTTGCTCCCTTTATTTTAAGGGAGAGAATATTGAATAAATATAAAATATTTAGAGCTGGCAGAGGGACTGGCCCAGCTATACTGAAACAGGCCTAACTCCAGAGCTGGTGCCCCAGCCCTGTTCATGACCCAAGTGCTCTAATGCTCCAGAGTTACTGTTCCTGGCTGTGTTTCCATTACCCACCTCCCCAGGGGTTTTTTGGGGCGATGGGAGGGTCATGGTGCCCCTCATACCCAGGCTGTGCTGTGCCCGTGGTATTTTCAGGGCAGTCTGTTCAGCACAGCCCCGCTGCCATTTCCTCTTGTTGCCTTAAAACCGAGATTAAAACCCCCTAATCCCTCCTGCATTCCCACTCAGCCCCCTGGCTCCACCCAGGAGAGGGCAGCGCTGGGGAAACTGAGGCAGGATCGCACTCGGAGGTGGACGGGGCAGTGCCAAGGGGGTGACTGGGCTCCCTGTGCCCTGCCAGGTTGCATAATGCAGGTTATTTTTAGTACTGATTTGTGCTCCCTGCTCCCCGCTGTCCATGCTGCAGGAATGTGGAGGACGTGTGTCGCTTCCCGGAGCTGCCGGCCCGGAGGCAGCTCAGCTACCAGGCCAAGCAGCTCATTGCCAGGGAGATCGAGCTGGAGAAGATGAGGAGGATGGAGGCTGTGCTGCAGGCACGGAACCCGGTAGGGAGGGGGGACTTCTGGGGGGTGGCAGGGCTGTGGATGTGGATAAAATCCTTAGGGATGGCGTGGGGACGTGGGTTTTCCAAAGCAGCCGGTGGCTTTCGCTCTGCAAATGGAAATCCGGGATTAACCCCCCCCTCGCAGCTCCTGGCCTGCACATCTGCCTCTGGGCAGCACAGCTGTGCTGGGGGGCTGAGCCCCAGTCTCTGCAGGAATTCTGGAAGGAAACGCTCACTGTGAGTCAAAGCTTTGAACCCTCCAGCTCTCTGAGGAGGGTCGTGAGGAGGTGGGAATTTTAGGAGGGAATTTGGGTCCGTTTGGCTGCGGTTTGTAGGTGTCTGCTCTTCCCTGCCTGCACCTTTCCTTCCCACTTCACTTCCAAAGGTCCCAAAGGCCCCAGGAGGAGCAGAGTTAACTCTGCCCACTGCCAAAACCCTCCTGGAGGCAGGAGAAGGTGGAAAAGGCTGAGAAACATCTCGGATGTAGCTGGTGCATGCCCCGGTGCCATGGGGATAATTAATCCCTGAGAGCCCCTTGCTGCAGGAGCAGAGCTCCCGGGGGATGTGTGGGGCAAAGAGATGCTGCAAAAACATCTCTGAAGGCTCCTTGTTTACTGTGAAGTCCCAGGGAAAGGGACCCCAGCTGGGGCTGATCCCACAAGCTGCTGCAAGGCAGAAAATGGTGGAAAAATCCTGTCCAAGCCCTCAGGATGTTGCAAACCCGGCAGCAAATAGAGGGGGTGGCTGGGATGGGTGACAACTGGGTGGCAGTTGCTTCATACCCAAACTTTAGGCTCAGACACTGCGAGGGGTCCCTTATTGAGGTCTCTCCTCCCCACAGGATCCCAGGAATGGCCTCAGTGAGGAACGAGGGGACACGAGGCCGTCGGGGACCCCCAACCACCGGCAGCGCCTGGAGCACATCGTGCAGAGGGCGGCAGTGGAGGACAAGGTGAGGGGCTGCAGGTCCTGCCCCAGTTCCCAGCAGCACTTCCCTGGGCTGCCAAACACTCACTGGCTCCACTGGAAACTAATTTTTTTAGCCCAGTTTCTTTTAATAGCCCAGTTGAGCACCGTGTGTCCCGCAAAGGCATCGCTGGGATTGCAGCTTTGGGACCAAGTGGATCTGGGTGACATTATGGACCTTCACCCCTGTGAAGCTTTCGGGGCTGGGGGAGGAAAGAGATCTGGGTATTTGGGTTGAAATAGCTGAATTTGGGCTCTGTGGAAGCTGCAGGGTGGGAGGGCTGCTCGGGAGCTGTGGAGAGGTGCATCCATCCACTGATCCCACTCTGGGCATCCCAACAGTGGCCAAGGGGAGCAGAGGGTGACAGGTTTAAGGGGAGCAGAGGTGGTTCCCTGCCACTGTCCCTCTCCAGGGCTCAGCTTCCAGCCCTTGGCTGGCTGTAAAACCTGACTTTAGCACCCTGAAATTTTGCCTTTCCCCCCACCCCAGATTTGAATCTGTTTGCATCCCCCCGAGCCTGCTGGCCCTTCCCACATTTGCATGTGGCTCCTGCTCTCCGTGGAACCGCCCTGGGGTGACTGAGCCTTGCCCAGACAGGAACTTCCCTTCTTTTTGGTCATCTCCAAAGGGGAGCTGGAAGTGCAGATGCTGCAGAGCCAACTCACCTCCTGCTTTTTGCCTTTCACAGCCCGAGGTGGATTTTTTCGGGCGGCCGCTCCAGCGCAAACAGGCGGCCTCGGCCCCGGGTGGGTGACAGGGATGGGGTGCTGTGGGTGGCCCCAGCCCTGGGAGGGTGACAGAGGGGACAGGGGGTGGCACAGGTGGGTGGCAGAGGGATGGGGTGACCATGGGTGCTGCTGGAGGGGGTCCCTTCATTCCCAATGCCCACCCCAAAAAGGGGCTCTGTCCCTCAGCACCATCCCTGGGGATGTGGGATCATCAGTGGGATCATCAGTGGGATCATCACCCCACCATCAGTGGGGTGGGGAGGGGGAGTTGGGTGAACAGACCCCACAACAACGGACAGGGGGGGTCCTGTGGGCAAGTCCATGGGTTCTGGCACCATCCAAATGGAATTCTGGATGTTGAAGGGTTTGCAGGATCCAGGACATGGGAGCATCAGCTCTGCCCTTCCCAACCCCCCCCTTCCTGGCAGCAGCTCCCTGATTGCCCCCTCTCCCTCCAGCCTGGGCACGGGTTGTGACTTTAAGGTTTTCTGCAAGTTTTTGAGGTGGATTTTCCCCCCCTGCAGCCCCTCAGGCCTCCATGGAGGAGTCCCTGGAGAAGCAGATGGGAAAGGCCGTGGGGAAGAGCGACGTGTGGTTCCGCTTCAACGAGGGGGTTTCCAACGCTGTCAGGAGGAACATCTACATCAGGGACCTGCTCTAGCTGGAGCCAGGAAATCAGGGTTGGAACTCAAGGGATCAGCTGGATTTTGGCTCTCTAACCCCTGTGTCCATGATCTTCGTTTAGTTTTTTTTTATCACCGACTTATTTTGTTTAAAAAAAATAAGGAAATAAAAGGTATCTAAAAAAATGAATAATGAAGTATTTTTCTGTTTATTAATAAACCTTTAGTTGTCATATTATGCCTGTTTTGCTGCAAAATGAGATATCCTACAGTATACAAAAGTATTTAAAATCACTGAAAATGAGGGTTTCTTTATAAAAATTTTCTTTACAAGTTGCAAAATGTTCCTGTTTGATGGCAGAGCTGGGTGAGGTCTGAGATGAAGCTGCAGCAAAACCCCAGAGAAACCTTTGCTGCTCCTGCCCCCCCACTCTGCCCCCCCGTGTCCCCCCCAAATATAAAACCACTTCTACTACTAAAAAGAAGGAGACAGGTGAGGGCAGGGTTTTGTTCAGGTTCTCATATTGGAACTAGCTAATAAAAAAAGTACATTCAGCAGGGGCAGCACAGGGGGGACCCCTCAGAGGATGGTGCATTTGCCTTTCTCCACCCAGGGGTTGTTTTTCATCAGCTCCGGGTTCAAGAAGGGATCCTCGGGAATGCCGTCCTCGATCCACTTCACAAACCTGTGGAGAGGGACAGGAGGGGTGGGCACAGCCCCTGCTCAAAGGTTTAAGGGGTGTAGGGCGGGGGCTGTGTGGCAGCAAAACAGGAATTGGGGGGGGCTCAGTGTCCGGGGTAAATCCTGCTCCGGTGGCAGCAATCCTGGGATCCCTGATCCATCGGGAATGGTGCTGGGGGAGCAGAGAGGGGCAAACCAGGAGGGAAAATTCCCTCCCATGGCTTGGTTTTACAGGTTGAAGTCATTTGGAAAGAGGGGACCTGCACAGTGGGGGGCTCCCGGGGTGCCAGGGGGTCCCGTGGCTGCTGCCACATCCCAACCGGAGCTCGGGCGGCTGGAAAGGGGTTGGTACAGGGGTGGGTTTGTGGAGAGGAACAGAGAGAGGGGCTTTGGGGACACTGGTGGGTTTCTGCTGCTGGGGCTTGGAGGGTTTGAAGAGCCATAAAGGAGAAAATCTCATTTGGGGACCCCCCCAGGGGATTTGAGGGGGGAAGTTTGGGGTGGAGAAGAGCCGGACTCTGCTCATGGGGGCACAGGGATGGGAAGGAGGAATGGAGGGAGGGCGGGGAGGTGGGCACCCACTCACTCAGGTATTGTCTTGGAGGACATCTCCCTCTTGTAGGCCAGCTGGTACTTGAGGCTTTCCACCTCCTTCTTCCACTGTGGGAGGTCCCACTCGTCCATGGTGGGGTCCGGGAGCCCTGTGGGGTTGGGAATGGGCACAGTGGGGCCGTGTTCTGCCCCAGCTCCCCCAGCTCTGCACCCCCAAAGAGGGGTCCCCCAGGATGGGGACAGATGTCACCACGCTCCCGGGGGAGGTTTCCAACCCCACCGGTGGCTCCAGGAGGTTTTGGGGTTGTTCTGACGAGGCAGAGGCTGCTCTTACCTGTGGGTGTGAGGCTGGCACAGAGCAGGTGCCCAGTGCCCCCCTCTCTTGTAGCCCAGGGGCACATGCAAAACCCAGGGAACCAACCAGATTTGACTGAAATTTGGATGGTGGCATCGCTCTGGGTGGGGAGTGTCAAACAGCCCCCGGAGGCTGCCTGGGGAGAGGAGGGGGGTGTTTGTCCTTTTCCTGCCTGGTCACAGATCCCAGCGGGCCAGGAGGGATTTTGGGTGTGAACAGCCCTGGAAATGGCTCACAGGGATGGGGAGCACTGATTTGGGGAGCAAGGCAAACCCCCTGGCCCCCGTTTCCCCCAGCAGTGGCCCTGGGGGGGGAAATGCGTGGTGGGGACACTGAGGCACAGCAGCCGATGGGGCACAGGCAGCAGGACAGGCATGTGAGTCCCTCGGCGAGCACCTGTGTCCCTGTGCCACCCCAAAAATCGGTGGCACAAGGGGACCCTCCACTGCCCGTGGCCCCAGACCCTCCGGACCCTCCTCGGGTGATGATGCCCAAGGATGCCCACACGCCCCGTCCCGCACCCCTGGACAGGCTGCAGCCCTCAGGAGAAGGTCAGGGAAGGGCTGGGGGGGCTGGAGGGGGATGAAATCCACCCCCCCGCGGCACAGCTCAATGCCAGCCCTGCTCCAGCACAGCCTGGCAGCCGCCCGGGCTGCCCCAGCTCTGCTTCTCCGCAGAGCATCCCCCGAAAAACGGCCGGGAGAGGGATGAGCCCCACGCTCCGGCCTCCCCGGGCTCTGATCCCTGGACCAGCATCCCCAGCCCTGCTCCAGCCATCCCGGCAGCATCCCAGCGCCAGGAGCGAGCCCTGCACCTACCTGTGCCGGGGAAGGAGTCAGCGGGATGGGAGCGGGGCCGTGTCCGTCGCCGCGGGCTCGGGAAGCCGCCCTGGCCTTGCCCGTGTCCCTCCCGAGAGCGGTTCCCTGGATGTTGGCGAGTCCAAATCCTCTGTGTAATCTATTAATGCACGGCTGGTCCAGCTGCCTCCGCCACGGCAGGAGCCGGATAATGGGAGCGTCCTCCCCCCGCTGCTCCCGGGGGATTTGGCTCCGCGGAACGTGAGCGCCCGGGATGGAAGCACAGCCCTGGTACCCGGCGGCCGAGCTGCCAAATTGGGGTTATCCCTGCCCTCCCCCACCCCTGAGGGACAGAAGGGCCCCCAGGAGGGAGGGGATGTGTGGTGGGACACAGTGGAACCCCAGGGAGGCCCTGCATCCCTCCCTGTTTCCCTGCCTGCATCCCCGGCAGCATCCCTGCCAAAGCCGGCCCTCCGAGGCTTTCCCACTCTGCTGCCTCTGGCTGGTGTGGTTCTTCCCGCTTTCCTAGTGCTGGAGGGGCAGGAGAAGCTGGGGGGCACCTGGGGAGGGGGTGGGTAAAAAAAGGGGGAATACAGAAGAGGGGTAAATGGCCCAAGTGAGCAGTTGGGACTGAACATATGGCGGGTGAAAGGGCGGGGGCAGCACAAGGGGAAAAGGGCAACGTTCAAAAAATATCGATGTGGGATTTATAGGGAGGGACAAAACCCTGGAACAGTTGGGAACTGATTAAAAACAAGATAATTGATGTGAAACCACAAAGAAGTGACACCACCACTCTCCCACCCTCCCCTTCATTAAACAACACATTAAAACTAAACTTAAGGTAAACTTTGCTGCTTAAAAAAAACAACCAAAAAAACCCAACAAAACAAAACAAGGTTTCCACAAAGCAAAATTGTCCAAATACAGCCCCTAAAGCTCCTCTTTCCTGGACCTGTGGCCTTATAGGAGTTTGTCCCCTCTGCAACATACACATACACACATATATATATATATATGTATATGAAATAATAGAATTATGGGTTGAGTTGGAAGGGACCTTAAATGCCATCTCATTCCATGATATGATATATTATATTGTATTATATTGTATTATATTATATTATTATTATATGTGCATATACATAAAGTCAAGAGAATATATATATATGAAAATACATACATACATACACAAATACATAGATATAAAATATGCATGGCAGTGGAAAATATATATTTCTATTCTATGCATTTGTGTATGCAGATATAATCAAATTTATACCATATATCAAATTTATTTTTTCTTATATGTGTCATAGACAATATATAATGCACAGAAATACATCTATACACACATATACATGCCTACATTTGTGTTCATTTACATATAAAAACACATATAAATGATGCTATATATTATAGAATCATGGAATGGGTTGGGTTGGAAGGGACTTTAAAGATGATCTAATTCCATCATATATTATATTGCACTATATTATTGATTATATTTGCATTATATATAAAATAAGATGTATTTCAGTAAGTATCTATAAGTGTATATATATATATATATATATAAAGGTTTACTGAAAGAGGCATCTTCTCTATATAGGCCAGATATAGGAAATACATATATATTAAAAATAGTTTAAAAATATATAAATATATATACAAAAATATGTTTGATTTCTCAGCCCAGTGTGCAGGGGCCAGGAGGAGGCTGGTGCTGATCCAGCCTCCCTTCCACCCTCATCCCTCCTGGATAATCGATGGAAGAGCCTCCCCGCAGCCTCCTGGAGCCACCAGCGCTCCGGGAGAGGAGGCAGGAGCTGGGGCTGGGCCAGGATCGATGGAGCTGTTCGGGGCCAAACTCGGAGCTTTGCTCTGCTGGAAACAACCCCCCAACACCGCGGGGCTCCGTGGGGGTCCCGTCGCCCCCCGTGCCCCCCGTTCCCATGCGGGAGGTCAGTGATGCCGGCCCGGAGTCGGGATTATCCGCCCGTTGACATCAGCCCTAAATCTCCCTGCGCTGCCTCCCCAGCGCCGGGAAAGGCTCGGCTTTAATGGCAAAACAACACGGGCGGTGGGTTATTGGATTGCCCGGGATTTGCCGCAATCCGATGGCACTGGGGGGAATTCAGGAGCCCCCAGAGACCCTAAAACGAGCCCGGGGGGTTCAGGTCCGTCCCTCCTGCCGGAGCTCGGCCCGGGAGCGGCTCCACGGCCAGGATTTGTCTGGGCAGGCAGGACCAGGAGCACGGGTGCCCAAATTTGGGGGGTCGGGGTGGCCCCAACCCTGGTGGTGGGGATGGTGGGGGGCAGCCCCTGGCACAGCAGATTGCAGGGCCTGCACTCCCCACCCCCCCCCGGGCTGGGTAGATTAAAGAATTATGAACTCCTGAAGTTTTGCAATATTAATGATCGGGGCCATCTGTTAATCTGGCAGCAGCAGCAACGAGCTGGGCTTTGACTTTGCGTAGTGCTGTTATTAAAACAGAGTATTTTTGGCTGGGTGGGCAGCTGGAGACTCCTGTGCATGGCAGGGGCTCCCAACCCGCTCCCCATTGCTGCCCACACCTCATTGAGTCCAAGGACAGGGACAGAGGAGCATCCTGGGCACAGAACCTGCCCCTCTTTGAGTGCAGCAGCACAAATGCTGGGGGGAGTTTTGGCCTTCCCATGACAGGAAGGACTTTGAGGGGCTGGAGTGTGTCCAGGGAGGGGAACGGAGCTGGGGAAGGGGCTGGAACACCAGGAATCACAGATTATGCTGAGTTGGAAGGGACCCACAGGGATCATTGAGTGAGTCCAAGCCATAACTCTGCCCAGGACACCCCAGGAGTCACACCCTGTGCCTGAGGGAGCAGCTGAGGAAGCTGGGGGGGCTCAGCCTGGAGAAAAGGAGGCTCGGGAGGGACCTTCTCACTCTAGAATTCCCTGGAAGGAGGGTGGAGTCAGGGGGTGGTCAGGCTGTGCTCCCAGGGAACAAGGGAGAGAGGAAACAGCCTCAGGTTGTGCCAGGGAAGGGTCAGGTTGGACATCAGGAGGAATTTCTCCATGGAAAGGGTGGTCAGGCATTGGAAGGGGCTGCCCAGGGAGGTTTGGAGTCCCCACCCCTGGAGGTGTCCCAGGAAGGCCTGGTTGTGGCACTCAGTGCTCTGGGCTGGGGGACAAGGTGGGCATCGGGCACAGGGGGGACTCTGTGACCTTGGAGGACTTACCCTCTGACAGCTCCCCCCACCCTGCAGAGCCCCCCTGGGAGCTAGGGGGGGGGTCTGCTCTCAGTCCCAGCTGCTAATTAGGGCTCTCTGGGGGGTGTTTTCCATACCTCAGCTCTCCAGGGCACACTCCAAAGGGATCCACTCAGTCAGCAGGTCCGTGAGTGTCCTTGGCAGGAACGGTCGGAGCACAGGAGCAGAGGAGGGTGGGAAGTGCAGCTGAGGCAGAGTTGGGTGGGGGCAAATCCTCCCCCTGACACTTCATTGTACAGATCCCACCTCGGGGAAGGGGTAAAGCTCCCCCCTCCCCCCCTTTTCTGCTCAGCTCCCAAAGGATCTCAGCCTCCTTGCCCAGGATTCCACTGCTGGGATGTGCATCCCATTCCTCCCTGAGCAGGGCTGGGAAGGACACAGGGGTGTAGCAGCAGCTCCAGAACTTGTTGCTCCTTAAATATAGCGAGGGGATTTATACAGAGCACACTGAGAGCAACCCAAGCAATATTAAGCAATTAAGAAATGTCCTTAAGACCCTGTTCGTGCTCCAAGGGCTGCACAGACCCAGCACAGGAACTGCTGCCCCCCAGCCAAGGCAGGTACATTCCTCCCTGGACTAGGGGATGGCATTCCCACATTCCCACTCCAGACTCGAAGAATATGAGATAAATTCCTTATTTTCAGCTGAAGTTTCCTTTTTGCTACAGGCCCTTCCTTGCAGCTCTTGCACTTAGAGCTTGGCAGCCTCAGCTGAGCTAAAGCAGCAGAGCTGTGCTTGCTGAAATACAGCATTTGGAGGAAGCAGCTCCAGGTGCCCATTTCCTTCTCCAGTTTTTCGGAGACTTTTTGGAGACACTTTTCCATTTTTAATGAGCTGCTTCATATCTCAATTATACCTGGAGCTTTACCTTTGGGTTTTCCACTGTGATGGCAATTCCTGCTCCCAGCGAAGTGCAGAGCTCCACACAGTCCTTTTTCTCATCCATAAAAGATTAAATCATTATGTATGGGATCCATAGGGCTGCTATAGGTCATTAAAATTCAGAAGGGGATAAATAATGAATAGATGTGCTGTTTACTTACAGTAAAGGAGCAGTTCCCAGCCTTTCCCTGCCATGGGAAATCCAGGCCTGAAGGGGGAAAAAAGCACCTGCCCCCTTACCTGATCCCTCTCCCTGGGCTTGGAATGGGGTGATACAGAGGAATATGGACTCCCATCCCAGTCCAACCCAAAGCCAAAAAAGCCCAGACAAAACAAAACTAAAAAAAAGCCCAAAAGCCCCAATTCCCAAAAAAGCCCCAAACCCCCCACTCCCCCAAAAAACCCTACAACCCAAAAAAAAAACCCCAACCAAAAACTCAAAGTCCAAAAAACCCCAAACAGAAGCCAACCCTCCCAAAAAAATCAAGTCATAAAAACCCCCAAACTCTAAAACTCCAAAACCTCACAACGCCCCCCAAAAAATCCAAACAGAACCCAACTGCCATTAAAGAGCCAAAAAATCCCAACCCCAAACAAAACTCCATCAAAAAACGCCCAAACAAAAACAAAAAAACCTCCCAAACAAAAACAAAAAAACCTCCCAAACAAAAACAAAAAAACCTCCCAAACAAAAACAAAAAAACCTCCCAAACAAAAACAAAAAAACCTCCCAAACAAAAACAAAAAAACTCCCAAACAAAACAAAAAAACTCCCAAACAAAACAAAAAATACTCCCAACCAAACAAAAAACACCTCTTAAGCAAAACAATGCAAGTGACAATATTTAATTGATGTGCTGTTGATTTCAATACACCCCTTAGAAAACTCAAGTAACTGCAGCTTCTTTGGGATAACAAAAAGCCACAAAACCCTCCCAAAACCCCTAAATGTGCAAAGTGCAGTTTGGCACGTGGGAACATTTGTCTTCCTTTGCTGCCAGACTGGGATCACTGAAGTTTCAGTCCATCTTTCAGCCTCCAGTGGCTCGTGGTTTCATGGAAAACAGGAATTTCCCTGGTTTAAGCTTTTCCCCTCTCAGCAGTTTTGTCTTGTCCTGTCCCCACAGGAGTGAAAACTCGCTCTGCTCCAACTCCATCCGTGTCCCTCTCCCAGAATCTCTGGGGATCAGCTCTTTAAAAACAACTTAAACCCCTTCCAACACGTGGAACTGCAAGAAAGGAAACTCCCAAACCACAGCTCTGTCCCTCTCCCAGCTCAGG